ACATTATTTGCTTAAATTAAAATGAAAGTTTAAGTAAATATGATTTAAAAATTAAGTTGTACAAATATGTAGTAGTGCTAAGAATGGTTCTTGCTCTAGAAGATTACAGCTTTTCATGCCCTCAGTGATGAGCATCATTTATGGTTTACTCACAACTCTTTCTAGCAAGACCCTGATCTTATACCTATTTGTCATAATCTCCCATCTTGTTGTGGATTGTGATGTATGTGGTTTTGCTCATCAAAGTTCTTTTATTTATTCCTCCCAGCCTCGACAATTCAAACCAAACAGCGTTCTTAGTTTCATGCTTCTGATTCTAACCCCAGAGAGTTAGAGATGCCATTTTTCTGTGGATGGCCCAAATCTGTGACGTTACTTGCTCTCCCCATCTTTCTGGGACACCTGTTTTCTGACCCAGGGAACATAGTACTGTATTCTTTTAAACTGCTGTCTTATTGATTTGTTTTTTTGTATTTATGCCTAAGGGACACATATAGCTTCAAGAAGAACAGTCTTAAAATTGAATAAGGGAAGTATCTGAATACAGGAAGGGGATTCCTTGAGAACCTCCTGTGTGATGGAACCAAGGCTGAAATGAAGGGAGCAGGGAAGATGAGGGCCATGAGTGCACATGGGGAGAGCAGAAGAGTAGATGGCAGGGAAACAAAAGAGCACATGTGTGCAGGTGTTTATATGTAAACATGGGAATGGCCTAGATCAATATGTTAAGTGTCCTGGGGAGAGGGGAAGAAGGGTCAAACAAAAAGAAATTGAACTTCAATTTACTTTTCTCATTTTGTGTGAGTTTTCTCTCCTTTTTTTTATTTCTGACAAGAAACTTATGTGGAAAGTAGATGCTTATGTATAGATACAAAAGAAATGAAAAGAGAGCTTCATCAGCTGAGCACTTAGAGAAGCTCATGGTAGGTTGTTAAGTGAAAAATTAAATAGGGAGGTAGTTACAAATTATTGGTGATTTTTCCATCCTTCATGTTCCTTGTTCATTATATATATATATTTTTATATGTTATAAAAAACATATACTAGAGACCCAGTGCACAAAATTTGTGCATGGAAGGGGGTTGTCCCTCAGCCAGGCCTGCACTGTCTCCATTTTGGGATCCCTTGAGGGATGTCCAACTGCTGGCCTGGTCACCCCCTTACGATCCCCCCATACCAGCCTGATTGCCCCTAACCACCTCTGCCTCGGCTCCCTCCACAATGGCTTTGACCAGAAGATGTCTGGTCAACCTGGTCTAATTAGCATATTACCCTTTTATTAGTATAGATATGCTATAAAATAAATATACATATATTTGTTTATAGATATACATGTACATATTCTTTTAAATATATAAAACTGCATATTAAACATTAATCAGAAGGGAAGACAAGTGGGTTGCCATGTAACTTATTTTAGTAGAAACATCACAAGAGGCTCCCAGGTGTTGCGTGTACGCATATGTGTGTGCATGTCTGTGCATGCCCATGAGCTCACATATGTTGTATGAATAAGGAGGAAGGTATGGAAGACTGTTCACTTTGAACCCCCATTTGGGGAATTAGGGATGAGGCAGAACCTTGTTACTTTTAACTCTCCCACCATGGGCCAAATAAAATGCATTGATAGTGCGGTAAATAAATACTGCCCTAATTGGTTTGGCTCAGTGTATAGAATGTCGGCCTGTGGACTAAAGGACCCCAGGTTCAATAAGGGCATGTACCTTGGTTGCAGGCATATCCCCAGTGGGGTGTGTGCAGGAGGCAGCTGATTGATGTTTCTCTCTCATAGATGTTCTAACCATCCCTCTTCCTTCCTCTCTGTAAAAAAATCAATAAAATATATATTTTTTAAAAAAAACAATGTTTACTGATGATCTGTGGGTTCACTTTGATAGAAATTTAAATACTATGCTGGATTTTAAGCTCTATGAGGACAGAAATAACATTGATCTTTATAACTCATTTAACCATTTATTCATTCATATTAAGTGTCTGATATATATTCTGAGTGTAAACATTTTCTTCAGTGTCTTTTACAGATGAAGTTTTTTAAAAAAAGTAAAAATAAAATATATTTTGAAAGTTTATTATAGAAGTACCTAATCTATTCTTGTGGATTAAAGAAGGTTTCCTGGAGGAAGTGGTATTTATACTGCAAACTGAAAATACAAATGAGTTACTTGAGTGAGATTGGGAAAGATTCCACATCCAATTTATATGAAAGAGTATATGCAAAGGCCCTAAAGCAAGGAGGAAGGAACATGGTAATGTGAAGAATGAGAGCAGTGTGGCTGTCGCCTAGAGAATAAGAGGATGATTAGTGTGGAGGAGGCCAGAAAGGGTGTAAGGATTGGATCATGCAGAACTTGCAGGTTGGAATACAATCCTCTAACTTTTTATTTCAAAAACTAGAGGACCGGTGCATGAAATTTGTCCCTCAGCCTAACCTGCACCCTCTCCAATCTGGGACCCTAAATGGGCAGTGGGACATCCCTCTCACAATTCAGGACTGCTGGCTTCAAACTGCTCACCTATCTGCCTTCCTGATTGCCCCTAACCACTTCTGCCTGATCACCTCCTAACCACTGCCCTGCCAGCTTGATTGATGTCTAACTGCTCCTCTGCCAGTCTGTTTGCCCCCAACTTTCCTCCTGTGCTGGCCTGATCACTCCTGACTGCCATCCCCTGCAGGCTTGACTGCTCCCAACTGCCCTCCCTTTCAGGCCTAGTCCCTCTTAAATGTCCTCCCCTGCTGGCCATCTTGTGGTGGCCATCTTGTGTCCATATGGGGGCAGGATCTTTGACCATGTGGTGGCAGCTATTTTGATCTTATATGTTTGAGTAATGGTCAATCTGCATATTACTCTTTTATTAGACAGGATAGAAGCCTGGTGCATGGGTGGGAGCTAGCTGGTTTGCCCTGAAGGGTGTCCCAGATCAAGGTGGGGGTTCCCTTGGGGCATGGGACGGCCTGAGGGAGGAACCTGTGGTAGTTTGCAGGCCAACCACATGCCCTGGTGACCCAAGCAGAGGCCCTGGGATCTGGGATTTATTTATCTTCTATAATTGAAAGTTTGTAGCCTTGGGAGGAGCCAAACCTTCTGCTTGCTCCATGGCCGCAGCCATTTTTGTTGGGATTTATTTATCTTCTATAATTAAAACTTTGTAGCCTTGAATGGAGGCCTGGGCCAGCCTGGGTGTGTGGAAAGTTTGGCTTGCTCCCTTGCCAGGGAAACCCAAGCCTCCCTCCTACTCTCTGTGGCGGCAGCCATCTTGGTTGGGTTAATTTGCATACTTGCTTTGATTGGCTGATGGGCGAGACTTGTGGGTGTAGTGGAGTGGTGGCTAATTTGCACATTACTCTTTTATTAGGTAGGCTGTTTAAACCTATACAAAAATTGAGGGTATAATAGAGTGGACCACCTAGATTTTCAAATTACCATTTTGCTATAGTTGCACATGCTTTCTATCTTTTACACACACTGTTTACACATATTTTTCTCTTTGCAGACAATTTGAGAGTAAGTTACAGATAGTATGTCATGTTAAGAAGTATTTTGTATTTAAAAATATGTATATTCCAAAACCAAATATTATCTCTGATATGATCATAATACTGTTATACAACCAAGGAAGCTAATACTGATCAAACACCTTTACCTAATATACAATCCATGTTTAAATTTCTAATTGTCCCAATACTTTGCTAACTTAAAAAACAAACAAACAAATGAACAAACAAACAAAAAAAGCACACAAGTTCTAGTCAAGGATCATGCACTGTGTTTAGATATCTATTGGCATTTTGGGCCAAGTTATTTTGTAAAATGTCCATCAATTTAATTTTTATTATTTCCTCTTAATGACATTCAGGTTGAACATTTATAGCAAGAATACTACTGGGTGATATGAAGCACTGAGAACTACCTATACTCAGGAACACTGATTGTTTCCATTATTGATGATGATAAATTTGATCATTTAATTAGGGAGGTGTCCACAATTTGTCACAATTTTAAATATAAATTTTTTCTTTTGTAAAAAATAAAGTAATCTGGCCGAAACTGGTTTGGCTCAATGGATAGAGCGTCAGCTTGGGGACTGAAGAGACCCGGGTTCGATTCCGGTCAAGGGCATGTACCTTGGTTGCGGGCATATCCCCAGTAGGGTGTGTGCAAGAGCAGCTGATCGATGACTCTCTCTCTCATCAATGTTTCTAACTCTCTATCTCTCTCCCTTCCTCTCTGTACAAAATCAATAAAATATATTAAAAAAAAATAAAGTAATCTGGAGGATGATACCTTGAGATTCTATAAATATTCTGTTTTTCAACAATCTGTCACCCAAGAGCACTGCTGTGTCTCTCACCCAAGATAATGACTCTGGTGATTGAAAAATGATGATTTCCTAACTGCATAGTTTCCCTGTAATAGTTTGTAGACTTCTGTGAAGAAGAGCCTTCTTATCTCCTCCACCCTCTTAATTCACTATCAGAATGGATTTGTGGATTTTTAAAACCTGAATTTAATATTTAATAGGTGTTTACCATCCATTTCTAACATTAATTATTCTGAAGTTTCAATTTCTCCCTACTTGGCCAGCAGTAACCCTTCTCTGAAAGGTTTTGTTAGAAATCTATGGGTTGAATGAATGAAATAATACTATGAAAGTGATGAATAAATCTGTGCTTACCATGCCTTTTTCTCTTGAGAATCTCTGTGTCAATTTAACATGGCTTTATTTTTATTTCTCTCTAGGTCACATGGATTAATCGGCTCTTGTTTAGCAGGCCCCTAAGAAATAAGTCATCCAGCCACATATCAAGACAAGGTTCGGTTTTAAAATTGCTCCGAAAATGATTAAAAGCAGTGTTTCAACATAACATTGTTAGGGGCGGTGAGCAACTTCAGAATTTCCTTTTAATCCCCGCAGCTTGGAGGAAGCCCCTCTCCATCCAGGAGGGCTGCATGGTGAGCAGCCCCCAGTGAAGGTGGAAGATGAGTGTCCCACTGGCTCCCAAGAAATCATATTACACTCAATTGCAGGACAACAGACAGGGGATGAAAAATAATAATGAGAGTCTCCTAAGTTCGGGTGATACAAATGCCAATCAGATCATGGTGGAGGGTGGTCTTTCTCATGATGAGTCTCAGACACGTGACCTGACAGATGAAATTGGAAATGCAAATTCACATGAGCCAGAAAACAGAACCCATTTCCATAACGAATTTCACTCACTTCAGGCCTTTGGGAAGGGATTTCAGGCTGGCCCCAGCAGCCTGAAGGATTTAAAATTGTCTTCAACTGTTCGTAGGGCAGTAAATGAAGAGTACACAATGCAGAGAGGCACAACTCTCCTACAGACTCCATGGAATGGACAGGAACCAAGTCTGGCAGGTTGGAGGTCTGTTACGGGTGAGGCCAGTCCAGATGTTTTGACTCCAAGGGGCACTGAAATTCCTCAGCATGCTCCTAAGGATAAATTGGCAAAGACACTGGACAATGAAGAACTGAGAAGGCATGCTTTGGATAGGGTGAGCAGCTCTGCTGTTGCAGGGGACCAGTTCATAAAGGAGTGTGCTGGGAGCCTGACTCAGCCACCTCCACAGCCTGCCCTGGAACCCACAGAAGTCCTGGATTGCGTGCCCAAGGGAGGTGAGGGGCAACAGAAGATAGTGACATCCCACTCCCCAGGGACAGCTTGTCCTCCAGCTTATATCACCTCAGAGGGAAAGGGTATGTGTCATCCTAAACCGTCTACCTCAGAAACCAAGGAGACCACCTGCTTAGAGACCCAGATGGAAGGAGCACATGTACCAGAAGTAAGCAATGAGAGCACACCACGTTCTGCCCATTCAGGGTGTGCTCTGACTTCAGCATCCAAGGAAGTCCTGAGTAAGCCAGAAGCACAATTAGATCAGGAAAAGGGAGAGCCCAAGCCAGAGCTGAAATTTGTCCAATCCTGGGCCCTGCAGGAATTCATGTCAGCCCAGGCCGAATGTCTGGGATGTCCCAATGAAGACAGCACGTTACTCCAAGAGAGAAAGTTGCCTGGTGGAGAAGCACTGCAAGAAGCCCCCACCAGGGTGGTCAGCAGCCTGCCCCAGAGCAGTGTCTCCCCGCTTGGAGGGCCAAGAGGCAGGAGTGTGCAGGACCAGAGCACCGTCCACCTAGGTGATCAAGGTTCTCTTCAGATCTTCCCCAAACCTGGCCCTGCCTCCTTGCAAGCTGCTGATAATCAGCTCCCTGGCAGAATTTCATCATTTGCAGCTGGGAAACTGCATGAAAGTTCATCCAGCCACTTGTCACCAGGTGATGGTCATGTAGCTTTTATTCCTCATGCCCCAGCTGACAGCAGACCCCCAGCAGCCACTGAGGAGAAAAGGGTGCTGAGCAGTGGGAGCAGGGCCAGTGCTATGGATTTTACTTCAGATCCTTCTGTTGGAGAGAGCGAAACTGGGGTCCCTGAGCCTCTTGACCCTCAGAGCAGCAGCTCAGAAGCTGGGGAAAGCAAAGAGGTCAATACATCTGTTGCTGAAAATAGGAACCTTCTAGAAAATGCAGTTAAAACTGAAAGTTCCACAGCAAGAACTGATTCTCCTCTTAGTGTCCCAACCCCTCTCCACCCAGAGACAACTGTCAGTGTGACCCACCAACCAGCACTGCCCAGTACCAGTCTTCAGGACTTGAGTATGTTGAGTGTGGACGCAGGGTCACCCTCGGCTGCCCCACCTCCTACTGACTGCTTGCAGTTGTTGGACACCTCCCCCAAAGTGCCTGACAAAAACACCTGCCCCAGTGGGATCCCCAAGCCTATTTCCACACATTCTGAGGGTACGCCTTCCTCACAGGAGAGCCACCAGGCTGAAAGAACAGAAGAAAAGACAGAACCCAAGCCCATCATTTTGCCCAAGCCTAAGCACGTGAGGCCCAAGATCATCACCTACATCAGGAGGAGTCCACAGGCCCTCGGCCAGGTGGATACTTCGCTGGTCCCAGTGGGCCTTCCTTATGCCCCGCCCACATGTAACACGCCTCTTCCCAAAGAGGAGAAGGTGGCAGGCAGAGACCTGAAGCCGGCTGCCAGCCTCTGTGATAAATTCAAGCCAGACTTGCAGAAGCCAAGGGTCTTCAGTCCTGGGTTGATGGTATCTGGGATCAAACCCCCAGGACACCATTTCAGTCAGATTAGTGAAAAGATTTTGCAGGAGGTAAGAGAATATCATTGTGATATGATTTATAAGTTGAACACCTAAAGTTTGTCACATATTTTCAATTGTGAAAACAGAATATTCTCCCTTTGGAAATTCTTCCTTAAATACACCTGTACAGAAAGAATGCTTTTAATACAGACTGTATTGATCATAGCAAGGGTCATCTCTGGCACAAAGCAAGTGGTCAACCCATTCTCAGTAGCAGATCTCCACCAAGGCTAGCACTGACCAGGTGCCCCAGCAAGCTGGCTATCTGCCTGCCATGTGCCAGCTGTCAGCACCAAATCATGCTGCTGGCTTCCCATCTTCTGACTCTGTGCCTAGAGAGGCTTCCCCCTCACACATCTAGAGAGGGAATGCTGACCAGAAAGTTTAGGGGGGTCTAGTCTCTGTGGTAGGGACTGTATGGCATCCAGTGCTAAGTGCAGGGAAAGCATGCCCTGGCTAGAGGAACTTAGAGTTTGACCTAGGCAGTGGCATCTCACTAACAATGAACAATTTGCCACCCTGGTTTATAGGTCAGGCTCTTAAATTGGTGAATGTGAGCCTTTCTTAAATTTCCAAAAATGTATCCCCCTTGCCCTTGGCTTTTGTTCCTATCTCTGTGAAGCTCAGCAAGTTTTAGTCCTCTGGTCAGGTTTGGCATGGGGAGATCCGAGGGCTTTCTCCTACCACTGTGCCCCCAGCTCACCACAGAATATGTTTTTGACATGTTGCCACAGAAATATTTATTTTTATTTATTTTAATTAAATTTATTGTGTGGCATTGGTCAACATGTTAATACAGGTTTCAAGTGTGTGTTTCTATGTTACAAGATCTGTATATTGCAGTGTGTTCATCCCTAAAGTTAAATCTCCTGTCACTATATATTAGGACCCAATTCTTCCTCTACTCCCTTCCTTCATCAAAATACCTTCATAGAAATATGTAGAATAATCTTTGACCACTTATCTGGGTATGGTGGCCCGGGTTAGTTGACACAATTAGACATCACAAGTCCTCTCCCTGGGCTGTCCCAATGGTTTCTCAATGAAGCCTCCACATTTACCCACAGCTTCCCAGCCCAGGATCCCACCGAAAACAGCATAGGGCAAGCACAAAGAGGGACAATTCAGTAAGAACTGATTTGTTTGTGTGCTTTAATGGATTTTAGGAATTTGGTGGAAATCATGAGCATACTTTAGTTTGTTTTCAAAATAATTTCTCTAAAAATACTCAATTAGAGCTTTGTGCAGTGGCAGTATTGTAGCCAATGAGGTTTATCCCAGGCATGATTATTGCTAATTGGGGGGAAAAACTCCATCAGAGAAGGAGGAAAAAATACCATTTTGGGTGGATCGCTATGTGTTTTTTGCTGTGCAGTGATCCCTGTTGTGTTCTGTCAATAAAGATGAAAGATGAGTGTGAAGTTGTTTGTAGATTCCCTTGTTTTAAAAACTAGAGGCCCAGTGCATAAAATTCGTGCACGGGTAGGGTCCTAGGCCTGGTTGGCGATCAGGGCTGATCTGTGGGGTGACTGGCAGGACTATGGACTGGTAGGGAGGGGGATGCTGGCACCTGCCTTGGCTGGCCTGGGGGCTGTGGGCTGGGGCAGCTCCTGCATTGAGAGTTTGCCCCCTGGTGGTCAGTGTGTATCATAGTGACTGGTCATTCCAACAGTTGTTCTGCCATTTGGTCAATTTGCATATTAGGCTTTTATTATATAGGATGCACAGATTAGGCATCTGAGGCATATTTCTTACCTGTGTAAAGAATTTGTTATCTTACCAGTGACAAATTACCCAACAAAATGACAGGTATTGAAGTTACTGAAATCCTGATGACCATTTTCCATGTGGGTTTTGAGCCCTAAAAACTATCCAGTTTCAAAGAACTGAGTAATTACTGAGCTCAGCATATTGCAACCCTAAAAACTTGACATATGTAGGTTAGATATGATTATAATTTCTTCATGTGAGCACCTGCTAAAAGCAATGTGCAATGGCATCAAAATTTAGAAACAAAAATAAAAGAAAAGTGGAAATATGAGTATAATATAAAAGTGAAAGATCAATAGTAAGAGAATAGTAAACATTTTTATCAGATCGCAAAGGTAGAATGTTCTGTTGAAGGAATGTAATTTGCTGCGGCCCCAGTTCAGCAGTTCTACAATAGCTATCATGCATGTTTTACAATGTGATTATGATAAAACTTTAAAGGCCTAATGTTTTGTTTCAATGTCAATTTAAGGAGAATTTGTATCTATTTCAACATTCAAAGAGTATTAATTTAAGGGCTTATCTCTTCCAACAGCTTGGATCAGAGCTTCATAGACCCTATTAAAAATATTGTTAAATGCTTATGATTCCTGGATATGTGTGACATAAAATATACTGTGATTTAGAGTAGAATTAATTAACAGATGTATTTTTCATGCATGGCCTCTGGCACTATTCTTTTTAAACTGAGAGGAAATACATGATTGAACTGTCTTATTTTTTCCCTTTTAATAAAATATGAAGAAACACTGATAACATGAACAGCCTCTGTGAGTTCAGAATTGTATAAATGCAAGGTAACTGTAAATTGTACTCTAGTCTAAACTGTTAACTATGGGGGAAAGGTAACAGGAATGTTGCATTATTAAATTTAGGAATCAATAGAAACCTGTTTTTGTGTTTGTTTGTTTGTTTGTTTATTGGATGCATATTGATTTGGGCCATGTATAGACACAGTTCTAGGTCTGTGATTCAGAAGCCAACCAGACTCTTTCCTAGGACTTTCGTTCTGATGAATCTTTTCCAGACATTCCTGACAGTCCTCCCTTAGCAGGGAGGACAATTAGAGGAGGTAAATCAGTCTCTCATTTTCAATTATGTAAATAGATTACAGAGGCCTGAAAACACATTATTTTCCATTAACATTTCTATTCTTTCAATAGCCTTTTCTCCCTCATTAATAGTGCATGTTTTATTTCATAAGTAACCTACAAAAAAAAAACATAAATTGATAAAATTCATTTTTTATTATAAGTCTATATTACCATAAAAATTATGCCTTTTCTTATTAGAAATAATGAAGCTCATAATTCTATGAACATTTGCAAATTCTTCCCATGCTTCATTAACATTATTTATTTATAGATTGGCTACTTGCACACTTTCCTATGATTTTGTAGCAATAAAGTTAAAAAACCTTACCAAATGAGTTGTTTTTTCTCCCAGTGAGATGTGGATTTATAGACTATTAGAACTGGAGGAGACCTGAGAGGTCATCCAGGCATGTTGTTAACTCGGCAATGAAGACACTTGTGCCCCAAGAAGGTAAGTGATCAGGGATGAGCAACTCAGAGTTGTCAGGTGGTCATTGCTGGAGCTTGGTGTCCTGAGCAGGGGCAGTCCTCATCCTGCGATGTGAGTTCTCTGATTGAGCTTCTCCTCATTTGCTATAGGTGACAGAACTCCCTGGGAAAGAAGAATTTTGTCCTCCCTGTGCACACTACGAAGTTCCTCCCACCTTTTACCGCTCGGCCATGCTCCTTAAGCCCCAGTTGGGATTGGGCGCGATGTCCCGTTTACCTTCTGCAAAGAGCAGGATCCTGATTGCCAGTCAGAGGTCTTCAGCAGGTGCCATCCACCCACCAGGACCCATGGCAACAGCTGCCAGTCTCTACAATTCTGATCCTGCAGGTAAGCCATCCAACAAAGACTGCTTTTCCCTGCTGCACTTTTAAATAGTTATCATATGATAACTGTCTAAAATATGAATGCCTCTTACCCTGGTTCTGTTATTCCATCTGACATTTATCAAGACTTATCTATCTTCAACAGTCACCTTCATGTCACCTTTAAAATGATGGCCCAATAACCACTTCTTTAATTTTTTTCCCTCCTGTAGTACATCCTGGTGGCCAGGATTCAGAAACATTATCTGTAAAAGCCAGATAGTGAATATTTTACACTTTCTGGGCTATGATAGTCTGTATTGTAACTGCTTAGCATGGAAGCAGCTACACGTAAGACTTGAGTGCAGCTGTATGCCAATATCTACACTAATAAAAGGGTAATGTGCTAATTAGACCAGATTAACAGATATCTTCCGGATGTCCAAATTCCTTTTGGACAGTTAGGGGATGACCAGGCTGGAAGGAGGGAAGTTGGAGGGAGGCCAGACTGGCAGGGGGGGGCAGTTATCAGGAAACCAGGCCAGCAGGGGGACGGTTGAGGGGCGAACAGGTCAGCAGGGGCAGTTGGGGGTGACAAGGCTGACAGGGGGGCAGTTGGGTGGCAACCAGACAGGCTGGCGGGGGGTGGGGGGGAGTTAGAGGGCAACCAGGTAAGCAGACAGGGGGCAGCTGGGGGCAACCAGGAAGGCCAGCAGGGAGGCAGTTGGGGCGTGACCAGGCAAGCTGGCAGGGGGGGGGGGCAATTAGGGGGCGACAAGATTAGCAGGTGGCAGTTGTGGGGCAACCAGGCAAGCTGGCAGTGAGGCAGTTGCAGGGTGGCCAGACCAGCAGGGCAGCAGTTAAGGGGCGATCAGGCAGGCAGGCAAGCAGTTAGGAGCCAGTGGCCCCTGATTGTGAAAGGGCTGATTGGAGAGGGTGCAGGACAGGCAAGGAACTCCCTCCCTCCCCCACGCACTAATTTCATGCATTGGGCCTCTAGTAGTTTAATATAAAAAACAGTGGGCTGGGCGCCTCCTGCAGGCCATAGTTTGCCAGAGAGCTCTTCCTGCTGGTTGGCACTAACCATATCACTCTGTTTTCACCTGTTCACAAATCTAGAATATAGAACAGCCTGCACCTCTCCTAGCCCTGTCACTCTGCTCTGCAATGGCTAGCCAGTGTCACCTCCTGATGTGCTCTTCTTTGATTTTCCTTTCATTCTTCTGGTTGTTTTTCCTTTTATTCTTCTTCTTCTAGGTTTAAGGTATCATTTTATTATAGAAATAATATATATGCATTTAAAATTTGTTCAATGTAGAAAAATAGAATGAAGAAAGTAATACTACTAGCACCCAGACAGAATCAATAGTATGGAGTTTTTTCTTTCAATCTGTTTTCTTTCTATTCATCTTTATGGTACTATGCATTTTCAGCATAGTAGCTAAAATAACACAAATGTGAATTTTGTTTTTTCCTATGAATATCATAATATAGGCATTTTCTATGCCATCATGTTTCAGAAATATTTAATGGCAGCCTAATAGTGTTTGTTCATTTATTCAACAAATTTTGGTACTTATTTTATGCCAGCAGCTATAATGGAGGATGGCAGCAGTGAACTAAACAGAGCTCTTGCCTTCATACAGCTAATGGTCTAATGGGTGAACTTGACAGTAAAAACAAGCACAAAAAGGAATACACAGTTATAAGTTGTGGTAAATGTCACCAAAGCAATGGTGTTTGAGAAATTGCAACCTGGAGAGTAATATGGATGGGACACAGGTGGGAAAGTGGGTTACTGGGGAATAACAGTAGAACTGAGGTAACCATTGTCCTCACTGGCACTTGGATTCTGCTTACTCTGTACCATTTTCAATAATGTTACAATTGGAATCTTTGTGATTACTTATTTGTCTTCTTTCATATTGTTTTCTTAGGATGAGTTATTTCAAGTGTAATTATGTGATAATGCTTATCTAAACTTTTTACAGGCTAATTTTTTTTAGAAAACTTATAATAATTATTTTCATACTAGTGTTTCTTCATATGCTTCTTGCCATACCCCTGCCAGTATTAAACATTAGTTTTATTATTATTATTATTATTGCATTTGTTTTATTATTAGTGGAAAGGGACTTTCCTTACCTCTTTGCCATTATATTACTCTGTGAATTGTCATTTACTGAGGTAATTATCGATGGTCTTAATGATTAGGTTTTTATTGTTTTGTTTTTTAAATATATTTTATTGATTTTGTACAGAGAGGAAGGGAGAGAGATAGAGAGTTAGAAACATCGATGAGAGAGAGTCATCGATCAGCTGCCTCTTGCACACCCCCTACTGGGGATCTGCCCGCAACCAAGGTACATGCCCTTGACCGGAATCGAACCTGGGTCCCTTCAGTCCCCAAGCCGACGCTCTATCCATTGAGCCAAACCGGTCCAGGCAATGATTAGTTTTTTGACAAGCGCTTCTATAAAAGATGAAATTATTTCTTGATGATTCTCATGATAATGTGATGGACCCACATATTGTTGTCAGAGCTGCTACACGTTAGTGATGTATTCAGTCATTCATTCAACAATTGCCTCTGAGGGACTTGAACATGTCAGCACTGTTCTAGGTAAGGAGGGGGATAAAGCAGACAACAGGCAAAAATCCTTGCCCCTGAGAAGCTTAAAATGTAGAATGAGGGGGAGGGGTAGACTTTTTTTAGTGAGTAAACAAATTACATGGAGTATTGGGAGAAATAACTAGTATTGAAGAAAATGAAGATGAGGAGGGGATAGGAGGTTTGAGACATGAAGGAGAGGGTTACAGCTTTAAATAAGGTGGGTGGAAAAGGCCTCCCTGAGAAAAGGGCTGGAAGGAGGTGCCAGGGAGCTGTGTGCATATCCTGGGGGAGCATTCCAGGTAGAGAGAGGAGCCAGTGCAAATGCCCTGAGGTGGCAAGAAGGCCAGGAAGGCAGGAGCAATGAGTGGGCAGGAGAATGGAAGGGTGACTGCATAAGGTTTAAGGGTCATGGCAAGAGTCTGACTCTTACTCTGTGTGAGCAGACCATTGTAGAGTTTGGAACTGGGTAGAATGACCTGACTGTTGTGTAAACAGGACCTCTCTGAGTCCCATGTTGAGAGCACACAGTGAGGGGACAAAGGCAGAAGCAGGGGGAACAGGTGATGCAGTGACCTGGCAGAGCTGAGAGACAGTGGTCAGGCACACTGAATGGACATGAGCTGGGAGCAAAAAAGAGTTATGAATGGAGACTACAGGGGTTTGGGCCTGGGCAACTAGGAGGATGGAGCTGCCATGTAGAGGTGCAGGGCCCGGGGCAGGAGTAGGTGCACAGGGGAAGGTAGGAGCTAACTCAGGAGACTAGAGTTGGGAGGACCGGATGCCACTAGAGACACGGAAGTGCTGGTAAACAGCAGATGGACCATGTTTAAAGCCAGGATGTCCCCTCACTGGGTGGTCATTGCTACCCAGCACCATTTCACCTTCACCTTCCTCAGTGGATGTAGAATTGGATCATGTACTCTTCGAAAACATCATGATATAACAAATGTTAATAGTTTTACTTTATGTATAGAATTTAGAAAAAGTTGAAATTATTAAAATTAAACTTAGTTGAGATTGATCTTGCAGAATCAAGTTTCCAGGGAAGCAGCTCCTTTAGAATATCCTGCCTGCAGTGCCCAGGGGCGGCAAGCTGCTCCCTTTGCTGCCTCTAGTCTGTGCTCTCACATTCGGGCTGTGGCTGCCACTTCCTCTGTGCAGTTCAGCCCTCACCAGGACAGGGAGAGATGCCCCAGCCCTCCCCCTTCAGGACCCCAACTCTTTACCTTGGGCTTCTGGGTATCTTCTCTTAGAGGAAGATGTGTGTTCACGTGGGAATTATTAGGGTCCCAGCACAGCCTGTGACTATGATGAGTGTCACCCATATCGGACACTGAAGATGTGAAATCCTTTCTTAGTGCTGCTGTGAGAGGTGGGGGAGAGCACTGGGACAGAAGATGAGAAGTTCTCACTCCAGACAATGAGAAGCTCTGGATGTCTCCTGAGCTTGGTTCCTGGGCACCAGAGCCATGCTACAGCCCTTTGCTTGACCTACTTTCTTGGCTTATCCCAGCAGTGGCCTCTCCCTTGTGGGCCATGGTGCCAGAGGCCCAAGCTTTCTGACCTGTGCATCAGTGCTCCTCGTTCATTCTTTTCTTTCTATAGAAATCCTTCCCTTTTTCTTCATGTTTTCCTCAGGGCAACCCCCTTTATCCTTACACATTACTATTTTACTATGTCACAAGGTCCTTTAAATGACAGCTAAAGAGGATGCCTGCAGGTCCAGGTGGGGCAGGTCAGCAGAGCCCACAGGGCAGAGGCACCCAGGAGAATCTGTGCTTAGAGCAGTGGGGAGTCAGGGTGGGAGGCAGCATGTCCATGGCCCTGTCTTCACCACACAACAGTAGGGAGGCAGGGTTGACTGACAAACAGAAATCTTTACAATAATCATTCTGTAAGGTTGAGCATCAAGAACCTCTTATATACAAGCAGCTCTATAGGTGCCAACTTTGTCCGGAGATAAACAGGTTAAAATAAGAGCCTGTGCTCCACTCACTACCTCGGATCAGAGGCCTGGCTGTGAAGTGGGGAATGCCTGTGTGGACTTCATGCAAATAGTTAGATGGGGGAAAACTCACCTTGTGAGAAAATGAGTGAGAATCAAACCCGCCTCCCCTCGACCCCTCCTTTCCTCACCAGCACACACTAGGTCCAGGGGGTGGGAGCCTGGGTCCCAGGAAACACAAAACTTATTTTCTTCTGTGTTTATATTACTTCTTTTACTACCATTGTACATTATTACTGCTATAGCTCTTCTCTTCCATATGATCATAAAATTTTATGGGCCTCTTTCTGCCTGTTCTAATCTAAGATGATGTGCAAAGACTGGGTCTCTTCCTTAACCAACCGTGGGCTCCAGAAGGGTTAGTACAATAATTTTCCAAAACTCACTTCAGCTACCAAGAGGATAA